GGATGGGATCGAGCCCCGCATCAGGTTCCCTGCTCAGCAGGGAGTCTGCTTCTCCCTCTCCCTCTGACCCTCCTCCCTGCTTGTGCTCTCTCTCTCTCTCTCAAATAGATAAAATCCTAAAAAAAGACTGATGAATCACTGACTTCTACCTCTGAAACCAGTAATACATTATGTTAATTAATTGAATTTAAATAAAAAGGTAACAAAACAAAAAGAGAGCCTTTTCCTAGTCTAACTTTATTATTATTTTTTAAGATTTTATTTATTTATTTGACAGAGACACAGCAAGAGAGGGAACACAAGCAGGGGGAATGGGAGAGGGAGAAGCAGGCTTCCTGCTGAGCAGGGAGCCTGATGCGGGGCTTGATCCCAGGACCCTGGGATCATGACCTGAGCCGAAGGCAGACGCTTAATGACTGAGCCACCCAGGTGCCCCCTAGGCTAACTTTAGATAATACAGAATTGGTTTCCAGGACTCCTGGTTTTTTTTGCTACAGTAATTTCTATCACTTTAAATATGATCCTACCACTACAGTTCCCCCTCTCTAAAGCTGCTTTATCAGAACCTTTAATCCTTGTTTGTAACTTAAAACCTTACCTTCCGTGCCTTCTTTTCACTCCGGCTCTGTTTTGCTTTACTGACTGGTTCTTCATCGATTTCAGCGGCTGCTGCCAGCTAAGAAGATAAAACAGCTATGAGTAAACTGGAATATAAGGCCTAGATATCACAATCCCCATAAGGTTTTCCCTTTATGAAGGTTCACATTTCCAAATACTGAAGTCAGCTTCTCTGATCAACCCTTGTTCTTCAATGCTTCCTCGACTCAAGTACTCTGACCAGCAAGTAAGAGAACAGAACACCCACCTGGGCCTGTTGTGTGGTTGCCTGTGTGGAATCCTGTTCCTCAAGCTCTGGTACTGATTCATCACTGTCAGATTCTGTTCCAGACCCTGAGATGACAAATAACTTTAAAATTTTACAGTAGATTATAGGGAGGAGGCACCTCACCATAGCCTGCCTGGACTAGAGGTCACTGGCTTATGTTAGACCTCACAAAGTTAAATACAAACCAACTGACTTGTATGAAGCCAGCTTGACAGCCTCCTTAGCCATAAACTAGTGTGTACACATCCATTAAAGACCCAGCCCCAGAAATAAAGAGGTAATTACTAGTTACAGCCAAGCAGTTTATAAACAGTAACTGCTTCCTTTCTCTTAAGGTCTTCACTTGGCACAGGCCAACACCAATGACCTACGTAACTCCAAATTCTACCTGATAGCCCAACCATCCCTAAAAGGTTATGGCAGACAAGGGATCTCCAGATACATTTAAGTGAAATAGCTGTAAGATCACATTGTGGAGGAAGACCAGGGAGGACACTCCCCTCATGCTTTATACTGAGTTGGGGAAGGCCAGAAGCAGTTGTGTACACACATTTAGCCTTGTTTTCAAACCACTTACCCTAGCAATTTGGTTTCATCAACATAGCCTGAAGATTCTCAGTGACTGCCAATCTATCGTTCTAACAGTCATCTCTGTTAGAGCCTGTCCTGTGACCTCTCCCATTTCTTCTAAATATAATTCACGTATTTTAAGTTTACCTCAACCAAAAGGCCAAGCATCAATAAAGACTACTGAGAGAAAAAAGCATACACCTGTACCATTCTCAGGCTAGGAAAAAAAAGTCTTGAAAAGGGAGTCACTTGGGCACTGGTCATTACTAAATCTAAGATGTGAAAAGAAATTCAAATAGTTCCATATTTCCCAACATTTTAGCAAATCCCAGGCCCAGGGACAAGGTTAGTTATGTGGTAGAGATTAGAGCAAATTAAAAGGTCTAATAGGTCTTGGTTTTCAATGTCAGATCACTCAGGTAAAAAAGATGGTAGATCCAGGGTTAGCTTGAACCATATTATACAAGATGATACAGAACAGACTATCTGAGGTGATGAAAACCAAGATTGTTTCACATTCCTAGAGCTTTTGCATTTAAAATTATCATTCTATGTTCTATGTCCAAACACAAGCAGATATACTGGAGAAAGCGGCGCATCCTAGGGTTAGTATTGGTGGGTAGCCCCAGGAGGGGTGTGGGCGACACACCATGCACACAGCAAACCAAGGCAAATACCCTTGTTGTTCTTCAGAACAGGCTGCTTGGCACAGGGGGTTGGGGCAGGGATCCCAGCAGGTTTGGGGGTGGGCATGTTGACGAGGACCGACTGGAAAGGCACTCCCCCCGAGATTGGTTCCGGGGGAATCAGAGGCGGCAGCTCATCCTCATCAGCAGGGGCTGAGGGCTTACAGGGTGATTCCAGCAGAAATTGCTGTTTAGGAGGCAGAGGGGGAACTGGGGAGGGAGCGAGAGGCAGAGAGACTGATGGGGTGGGTGCTGGAGGGATAGATGCTGATCCAGCTTTAGGAAGGACCTTCTCAGAGGAAACTGTTGCTAGCGGAGTAGATGTCACACACTCAAGAGGAAGAGTTAAAGGGCTCTTTGGAGAATGAAAAGAATCTTTGCTTTTTAATGGAGAAACAGAGAGGGTTTTGGGAGTCTTTGAAGAGACTTTCTGAGCAGAGACTGTCAGCGGGGCCGGACCCATTGTAGAAAGGGGTCCTTTAGTACCGTTCTTAGCTGAAGGATCTGGGCACAGAGGAGGTGAAGTAGCAGAACTCTTCTTGGCCAGTGGACCTTTCTCAGAGGGAGCTGTGACAACTGGTGCACTTTCTGGAGCTGGGGCAACAAGTCCTGCTTTGAGAGCTGTGGAGCCTTTCTTTACTGGTAGGCCTTTAGAAGCCTGAGGGGCAATGGACCCCAAGGGACATGTGACTGAAACTGGAGAAGTAGGGGTCTCTTTGGGGGAGGGAGGAATCTCAGATGAAGGAGTGGGGGCACCTCTGGATGGGGTAGCTGGGGCTCTCTTGGGAGATGGAGTTGCTAAGGTTCCTTTGGAGGCTGGGGTTCCTCCTGGGGTTCTTTTGGAGGATGGAGTTGCTGAGGTCCCTTTGGGGGCTGGGGTTGACAGAGACTCTTTGGGAGAGGAAGGAGTCACAGCTGGGGGAGTGGAGGCCCCCTTGGGAGATGGGGTTGCTGGGGCCCCTTTGGGGGCTGGAGTTGCCGGAGACTCTTTGTGGGAGGAAGGAGTCACAGCTGAGGGAGTAAGGGACCCTTTGACAGATGGGGCAGCTGGGGCTTTTTTTGAGGAAGGAGTCACTGCTGGGGGAGTGAGGGCCCCTTTGGGAGGTTGGGTAGCTGGGGACTCTTTGGGGGAAGGAGGAGCCACAGCGGGAGGAGTGGAAGTCTCTTTAGGGGTTACTGGGCCCCCTTTGGGGGAGGGGGGAGCTACAGCTGGGGCAGTGGAGGCCCCTTTGGGAGGTGGAGTAGCTGGGGTTCTTTTGGGGGAGGGAGGAGCTGCAGTGGGGGTCCCTTTAGGAGACTGGGTAGCTGGGGACTCTTTGGGTGAGGAAGGAGCCACAGCTGGGGGAGTGGAAATCTCTTTAGGGGATGGGATTGCTTGGCCCCCTTTGGGAGATGGAGTTGCTGGAGCTCTTTTGGGGGTTGGAGTTGCTTGGGATTTTTTGGGGGAGGGAGGAGCCACAGCTGGGGCAGTGGAAGCCTCTTTGGGTGGTGGGGTAGCTGGGGCTCTTTTGGGGGCTGGAGTTGCTTGGGACTCTTTGGGAGAGGAAGGAACCATAGCTTGGCGGGTGGAGGCTCCTTTGGGAGGTTGGGTAGCTGGGGACTCTTTGGGGTAGGAAGGAGTCATAGCTGGGGGAGTGGAGGTCTCTTTAGGGGATGGGGTTGCTGAGCCCCCTTTGGGAGATTGAGTAGCTGAGGCTCTTTTGGGAGACTGGGTAGCTGGGGACTCTTTGCGGGAGGAAGGAGTCATAGCTGGAGGAGTAGAGGTCTCTTTAGGGGATGGGGTTGCTGGGCTCCCTTTGGGGGAGGGAGGAGCCACAGCTGGGGCAGTGGGGGACCCTTTGGGAGATGGAGTAGCTGGGGCCTCTTTGGGGGAGGAAGGAGTCATAGCTGG